TTCCTGGACAGTAAAGAATTTCAGATACTCAATAGGACAAGTTCAGACATAAAGGACCTCTAAGTGTGTCATAATGTTGGATAACTGTATTTAGGCTTGGGAAGGGGAAGAAAAAGAGTACAGAGAGTTATAAAAAGTAAATGTTTTTACAGCTAAAAAATACCTTCAGTGATGTGGCAGGATACAAGATCAATTCCAAAAAATCAGTAGTCCTCCTATACACAAAGGATAAAGAAGCTGAGAGGGAAATCAAAGAAACATCACCTTTCACTATAGCCACAAATAGCACAAATAGTATCTTGGGGTAACAGTAACCAAGGAAGTGAAAGATCTATTTGACAAGACTTTAAGTGTTTGAAGAAAGAAATTGAAGAGGATACCAGAAAATGGGAAAAATCTCCCATACTCTTAGATTGGGAGGATCAACATAGTAAAAATGGTGATTCTACCAATGGCATTCCGTAGATTCAATGCAATCCCCATCAAAATTCCAACAAACTTTTTCACAGACCTTGAGAGAACAATCATTAACTTTATATGGAAAAACACAAATCCCAGAATATCCAAAACAATCCTATACAATAAAAGAACTCCCAGAGGTATTACCATCCCTGACATCAAACTCTATTACAAAGCTACAGTAATGAAAACAGCTTGGTATTGGCATAAAAACAGAGATGTTGATCAATGGAATCTCATTGAAGACCCGAATATTAATCCACAAATCTATGAACACTTGATTTTTGAAAAATAAGTTAAAATTATACAATGGAATAAAAAAGCATCTTTAACAAATGGTGCAGGCATAACTGGATGTCAACCTATAGAAGAATGAAAATAAATCCATATCTATCACCATGAACAAAACTCAAGTCCAGATGAATTAAGGACTTCATTATAAACCTCATCCACTAAAGCTGAGAGAAGAGAAAGTGGGAAGTAGTCTGCAATATATGGGCTCTGGAGACCACTTCCTATATATAACCCCAGTAACACAGACAATAAGAGTAACAATGAATAAATGGGATCTCCTGAAACTGAGAAGCTTCTGTAAAGCAAAGGACACAGCCATTAAGACAAAAAGACAGCCTACTGAATGGGAGAAGATCTTTACCAACTCCACATCAGACAAAGGTCTGATCTCTAAAATGTGTAAAGAACTCAAGAAATTAGACATTAAAATTCTAAATAACTCAGTTAAAAATGGGGTACTGAACTGAACAGAGAATTCTCAACAGAAGAATTTCAAACGGCCAAGAGAATCTTAAGGACATGTTCAACTTCCTTAGCAATCAGGGAAATGCAAATCAAAACAACTTTAAGATACCATCTTACACCTGTCAGAATGGCTAAAATCAAAAACATCAATGATAGCTTATGCTGGAGAGGATGTGGAGTAAGGAGCACACTCATCCATTGCTGGTGGGAATGCAAACTTGTGCAACCACTTTAGAAATCAGTGTGGCGGTTTCTCAGAAAATTGGGAGTCAACCTACCTCAGGGTCCAGCAATACCACTCTTGAGAATATACCCAAGAGTTGCCCAACCATACTAGAAAAGCATTTGTTCAACTTTGTTTATAACAGCATTATTTGTAATAGCCAGAAACTGGAAACAATCTAGATGCCCCTCAATGAAAAAATGGTTACAGAAAGTGTGAAATAAATACACATTAGAGTACTACTCAGCGATAAAAACAATGACATCTTGAATTTTGCATGCAAATGGATGAAAATAGAAAACACTATTCTGACTGATATAACCCAGACCCAAAAATATGAATATGGTATGGATTCATTCGTTAGTGGATTCTAGCGATAAACAAAGAACATTGAGCCTATAGTTCACGATCCTATAAAAACTAAGTAATAAGGTGAATCCAAAGAAAAACATATATAGATCCTCCTGGAATTTGGAAGTAGACAAATTCACCAGGAGAAAGTTAGGAGCATGTGGGTCGGGGTGTGGTGGGGTAAAGGGAGAGGGGAGAGAGAAGGGAGAAGGGGAGGGTTGGGGAGAGCTTGAAGGAGTGGGATGATTGATAGGGAGGAAGGACGGATATGGGAGAAGGGAAGAAGATATCTTAATTAAGGGAGCCATTTTAGGATTTGCAACAGGCTTGGCTCTGGAGGGGTTCCCAGGATTCCATGGGGATGACCCTAGCTAGGACACTGGGCAGTGGAGGAGAGGGTTCCTGAACTGACCTTGTCCTGTAGTCAGACTGATGACTGTCTTGAATATCACCATAGAACCTTCATCTGGTGACAAATGGAGATAGAGATTGAGACCCACATTGGAGCACTGGACTGAGCTCCCAAGGTCCAGCTGAAGAGCAGAAGAAGGGAGAATATGAGCAAGGAAGTCAGGACAACAAGGGGTTGTTCCACCCACTGAGACAATGTTCCTGAGCAAATGGGGGCTCACCAAATCCAGCTGGACTGGGACTGAAAAAGCATGACAACAATCTGGATCCTCTGAACGTGGCTGACAGATGGGGCAGACTGAGAAGCCAATGATAATGGCACTGGGATTTGTCGCTACTGCATGTACTGACTTTTTGCGATCCTATTCTATTTGGATGCATACCTTCCTAAGCCTGGATTGAGGGGGGAGGGTCTTGGACTTCCCACAGGGCAGGGTACCTTGCCCTATCTTAGGACTGGAGGAGGGAGGGGGAGCGGCAGGGAAGTGGGAGGAGGGGAGGAAGTTGAAATTTTGATTGGTATTGTTTATAAAGTAATAATAAATAAATAAATAAATAAATAAATAAATAAATAAAAGAAAAGGAAGAAAAAAACTAACCACACCAATTTGAAATGAAAGGGGGATGACTAACATTTCCAAGCCCAATCAGAATTGTGAAGTCTCTCTAAGTAATTCCTTTAGTATTGAACAGTATTTATTAAGTGCCGAGTAAGTGCCAAGCCCAGGTATCAACAAAAAAGTACAGTGACTTTCCTTGTAGAATTTACTTCCTGTCACAAGGAGCCAAACCAGCTGAAGAGTGATCTAAGGTGGTCATGCAAATCTTCTCTGACTTTTCATCTGGGAACTATAGGAAGGAAAATACTGTAGAATGGTAGCCAAATAATCTACTTAAAAACCATGAAACGTTTTTTACAACTCCAAAAGAAAAAAAAAGCCAACTAATACACAGGTGTCTCAGAAACTGTGTGAAAAATTTCTAACTGGCTAATCTCTCACAGTAGACTATTATCACTTATAATTACAACTATGACTTTAGCATGCCAGGAGTTCAGTCCTAGCAATAAAAATAGAAGCTGAGCATGATTATGCAGTTATTAATCCTAACACTAAGGACACAGGTGTTCCTATGTGTTCAATTTTTTTTTTATCTAATTTTTATTTTTAGAGCCTGTCCTGGAACTAGCTCTTGTAGACCAGGCTGGCCTCGAACTCACAGAGATCCGCTTCCCGCTGCCTCCCAGGTGCTAGGATTAAATATACACCACCATTGCCTGTCCTGTCCTCTGTGTCCTTAAGCTGAGCCCAAGGCCCTCTGTTTTCCCACACCCAAAGCGAAAGGAAGCAGTCAAAAATTGTATGCTCATCATTTTATTGGTAGAGTGAAGATAAAGATATAATTAATTACATTGTTCCTATGTCATAATCTTCTAAGGACAATGTCTTCTTAGCTTAGGATCTTTTCATTCACTTTCTGAAAGAAACGGACAAAAAAAGCTTATAAGGAAAGTGTTAAAAAAGAAGCTTCTATTCTTTTGTTGATAAATGCAGTGGGTGACAGCCTGTCTCCTTTTCTTTCGCTGCTGGTTCCTGTCTTTGTTTCTGATTGATTTGTGTTTGCTTTAGCTTTGCACCCTCACGGTATTTGCTCTCAGCTGTTCCATATGAGATGAAGAAAGAGTAGGTTTTTTCTTCAGCTGAGTGTCTTTTGATTGTGATTGAGTGTATTCTAGGGTACATTTACAAAACTGGCCTGTGAAATGTGTCCTTTCAGAGTAAAACATCCAAAATGTCAGGTCACAAGTTGAGAGACAGTGTGGCAGGTTCACCATGAAATACCCACAACCTCAAATAAAAACAAAACAAAACAAAAAACTAATAAAAAAACATGTTTAAAATAAGAAAATAAGAGCAAACAATACTGAAGACATGCATGGGTATATGTGTATGTGTGTGTGTGTGTGTGTATGAACTGATGTGTGAATTTCTCAAGAATTACCATTTTTTTATACATCTATAACATACAAATCTCAATAAAAATATATCACTAATGAAAGGTGATTATAGTCATTTGTGTAAAATCAAGTATTTAAATAAGTTTTCCAATTGAATTAATTGTAGTAGTTATTGTAAAAACGTAGGAAATTACAACATGTTTTAAGATTTATATGTATTTTTATATTTAATATACATTTCTATATTGCATGTGGCGTTCAGAGGACTAACACCCAAGCTTGTTCATGGAACATGCATACTCGTACTCCATACTCAAACATGCATACTCGCACTCTATACTCAAACATGTATACTCGCACTCCATACTCAAACATGCACACACCTGCAGACATGGAAACTTATTTGATGTTTTTCAGCTGAGTTTTACACGAGACAGTTCTAAGCACAGAATAATGAAGGAAATATAAGATGGACTGCTGCTGATTTTCAGCATGGATGGAGGCAAGGAACTTAGAAAGATCATTGCTCTTTGTACAAAACAATACAGAGTAAGATGGACAGTCATGGTCCAAAATAAAATTTGGGCACAAAGTTTCTTAAATTAAAAACTACCTTCTAGAGGTTTTAAAGAACAGATTCCCTCCTACCACAGGATATCTGAACATTAAAAATGAAGTGAGATCCAAGTCTCTCTGTATACTTTCAAAACATGTTTAAAGGTTAAGAAATGATAAATTTGTTTTTTCATACACATTCAAATTTAGGGGAGTCATGGAAACAAACAGAAAAGAACTCACACCTGACAATGGTTACTGATGAAACTGGCCTTGGTAAGATGTCTAATTTCTTCGTGGGGGCCAGTTTCCGGGGTGGACTCTGTTATTTTGTTGCAATTGTTGTCCCTGCTGCTGTGGCTGCTGCTGCGGCTGCTGCTGCGGCACCTGAAGCTGTTGTGACTGCTGCAGAGGCTGCTGAGGCTGTTGTGGTGGTAATCGCAGTGGCCTTCGAGACCCTTTTTGCTGTTGCTGCTCTACTTGAAGGTCAGGGTTTTGGGAAAATCCTGAAGAGGGTTGCCTCTCTTGGGTGTTACGGTTGGCGACCACAAATTCTGTGTAGGTACAGATTAAGAATAGATGAGCTGAGAGGCTAGCAACATTTTATCTAAAAGACTTTATCACACTACCATTTTCCCTAAAGCGCCACTCAATTTCTAACCTCCCCGTTCAGCACCATGTTGTCCGGAGAAATGCCTTTAAATCTGAATAACAATGGTATAGGCCATCTTCTCTTGCAATATGCTATGAGGCTTTGAGGTTTTGGAGAAGAAGATTTTTATGGGCTGTCTCCACAGCCAAGGAAGCCACCAAGACTTTCGCTGTTAAAATTAATGGTTTAACCCTTTCCCAGAAATGGTCTTCCTATGTCTTTCTCTCCATTTGTCCTGTATCCACTATGTCTATAACAAGTTATCTCCTACAAACTGTCTCTTTTGTCATGTCATAGCTTAACCCCCCAAATTTCCCAGACTTCAATATACCTTTATCAGCCCAGATAGTTTTGTCTACAAGAACAAATTTTACGTTTTCATTCCACTGCTTGAAATGTTTTATTTTCAATTGAATATAAAATTAAATAAATTTTTAAAATGCTTGCAGGCTCTTGGGATGGAATAAGGACTCAGTGGTCTTTACTTTGGCTTAAAAACTCTATAGTCATGTTTTGTTTTAATCTTTAATTCTCTTGCCTCCATTACGTTTGTGTGGTCTCCTATACCCCAAACAGGATCCCCAGCCTGGTACCCATATTTGCATACCTTCATTAGGTCTCTGAGCTGAGCTGAGGGCCAGTAGGGCCACTGTGAGCAGGACCACTAACATCTTGGAGGAGGCTCTAGAGTTGCTCCCACGTGTGTGCTGGGGAAGCAAGGCAACTGGCTCTATAAAGATTGGTGGAACAATGACACCTTTGAGCCCCAACTGGGTGACCTTGTTCCTGATCAAACAGGATATATTGTGTTTGTGACTCTCCGCTTTGGCATTGTAGCTCAACAGGATGTAGTGGGAAGTGGAAGTTTGGCAGAGTTTTGAGGGAACAATATCATAGAATCAATCTAGGTTCTCAAATATTTCCATCCGTATGTGAATTTCATTCTGTTTAGCAAATTGTGAATATAGCCATCACTATATAGAGGTGAGAGGAAAGTATTTGCACATGTCTGTTGTCATTAATCCTTTTATCAAAAAAAAGAGGATTCATATTTGGGAGTTAGTATTATTACTCAAAGTTTAGGAGTCCATACTTTGTGTATCCCCATGTGTATAAAACTCAACTATGGTTTTTGTGGTATAGAAGATATGTCTTCTTGATTCTGTGGTCTGTTATGAAACAATATTTTCTGCCTCAGCCAACTATGGCCCAGAAGATTGCCTAGGATTCAATGAACTGTTCTTAGTAATGAAAGATTTGCTATTGAAAGAATGTGTGGCCTAAAACACTCTGATTATATTAGTATTTTTTAAGTTATTAAAACTAACACATCTATAGAATACACTATTGGATTCTACAGAACAGGAATATAGATTCAATTTTTTTTTACCATATATGCTATTTCATATCTCTCAGAATTTGGTTTCCTCTCTTTTTCTATAATGTTTCTGGAGGTTGAATTTGGGCCTTTTATCTTTGAGGAAAATGTTATTTTGCTTATTTGTTAATCACTAACACTAAACACTGTTTAGCCCGGTTTATCCAACTGAATAAGGTATCCAATTACCTCACCCAGAACCTTAGTTGCTTTGAACCTTGTCATATACATGTCACTTATAATCAGAGGTAATTTTTTTCTTGGGCTGGCTTACAACAAAGGCAATTACCTTTATAATATTCTGATACTCATTCATCCCTACTCTCTACTGGTTTGTTATAGTTTACACTTTTCCTCAGTTTAAAAGCCTAGGTTTTTATTCTTATTTTATTTTCTAAAAAATGGTAAAGGCATCCTATATTCAATCACTTCAAAGGATCATTTATTTCCAGCTGAGACAAATATTACAATCTGAGATACCATGATATTGGCAGTCTTATAAATCAGTCTTGTTCTGCTCAGCCATTTCAGAAAATATAAGATTTGACTGTCTAGTCTTCATAGGAAGATATAAATCCCTCCAAAATAAAAAATAGTACATATGCACAATGCTACTTAAACATGCCTACAATCATATACATAAATATTAGAAAAAACTACATTTATTCTTATTTTGAAATAACCAGAAAACATAAGAAAAGGTCAAGCCTGGACTGTAGATTGTATCCAGTAAGATCTTCACTTTAATTTTTTCATGTTCTAGCTACTGGATGAAGAATTATTTCCTCACAAATAGTGCAGCACGGGTGTTCTTTTGACACTGCAGGAATAATGCTAACTATATAGCAAGACGGCCTCAGAGCACTAATAACAAACGAATATACACACTTTTGCCATACACATATAGAACATGCTTTATGCCTTGCTTGAATAAAAAATTTCACTTCTTAAAACTATGTTAAAATCTTAAAAGAGATTCAGTAGGGGAAATGAAGAACTTCTAGACAAAAAAGTATTAAAATAATTTTGACTTTTCTTAGATTTATTTATTGTAATTTATATGTATGAGTATTTTGCCTACATTTTTATATTTATACCACATGTGTTTCTTGTGACCTTGAAGTAGATAACATTTTTAATTCATTATATCCTTATTTATAATGCCTATTTGGCTTTTCCTCTCCTGTTTTTTGAACAAATTAATTTATTAAATCATTTAAATAAACATTTAAAATTTAAATTTAAGGTTCTATTCTTCACTACTTCATTTAAATTTTGATTTAAAATATTTGATATCAAGACATTTCACTTACAGTAGGGCTTTTTGGATATGTACATTGCTTCCTGTCCTTTAACTTACTGTTTATTTTATGATATTTAATGGTTAAATCTCAGCAACTATCTTTTCTCTTCATTGAAGACCTCAAGTAGCTTCTTCCTGTCATTTTACACTTACATGGGATTTATATAAATGTTAATTTATCTGACAGTTTGATAAGAGGTGAGCCAGAGTAGGCCAGATCACTAAAAATCCTGTCAGCAACATCATCAACTATTGACAATGGGACCTGTCCAAGGCAAAAGAGTTTCTTTTTAACCCCTGTATACAGGGGAGTATGACTAATATAGTAAGGTTCTCACAGCAATTTTGCTTACAATAAATAACAAGTCCTGTAAAACTTACCAGAACATTCTGACATGGTCACAAATATATTCTGAAGTAAGACTCTGTTAACACTTTGTGATTTTTCACTGATTATATGTTTTCTCCTTGCTTCATCCTGGTAGACCCTTCGACTTGGTGCCATGACAGCTCTTGGATTCCTCAGATCCTATATTAAAAGTGAACATGACAGAAGAGTGTCTTGCTGAGGTGACTTATGGTAGACGTTTAGGTTGGAAAGGAAGGTCAGGGAGTAAGAACAGGAGTCAGAGCCAGCCAGGCTGAGAGCTTGAACTCTTGGATTGGCCGTGGAACAGAGACATTGATTCTGCCAGAAATCACTCAGCTTTGGCCTTTGCCTGGCCTTCTCCTGTGTCAACCGTGTCTAAAAGATCAGTGCAAAGTATTACTCATGAATCCACCGGATGCAACTAAAACAGAGGCCGTGAAAGAATTGAAGAGATGGACTAGCAATTTGGGAGGGTAGGGTTGAAGCAATGATACAAACAGTGGCAGGCATATGGAAATTTAGGGTAGATTGTCACACTTAAGCATGAATTCCATTTACTTTGTAATACATATGTAAATTTTAGCAAGTCATCAAGAGACTTTAAGGTTTCTCTATCCTATTTTTTTTCACAATAGCTCAACATGGCTTCCAAAGTATTGCAGGGAAAGGTGAGCACATGCAACAAGCTCAGTTCCTTCAATGGCCCTCTCTGTGGCTTATGGATGGCGACCTTTGTGGTGTGTGCCCCCACATGGACTTTGCTCTTTGCATATGGCTACCCTATATTTCCCTCTATGTCCTCATATTCTTCTACTTACAAGAACAAGAGTCACCTTGGATTGTAGATGACATAATTGCTTAATTTTTACTTAGTAACATCACTGCGGGTTCCACTGCCAGTCACATTTTAAGGGTTTGGTGGTTAGGACTTCAATAGAGATGGGGCAGAATACCACCCATAACACTTACCTGTGCTTTCTCATTTAATTATATCCATCTTATTCCTTTAGTCTAAAACCTAGGAATGTCTTGAACACATAAGTTCCCTCAAGAGTGTCTGTTAACACTCTCAATTTGCTTGATTTTCGAAATATCTCCTTCTGATAACTTGAACAATCTATACACCAAGACCATGCCTCTCAAGAGTTTGTCTCTTTTTTGGAGGACTTATTTAGTGCCTGTAGAAGGGATTGTTAATGCTATTGTCCTCAAATACATGTCCTATTAGTTCTTAAAGTTGCTGGAGTGATCTAGTAAAAATACAATGAAGTTGGCATTATGAGGACAGGATGACATTTTTGCTGCAAATCTCATTAAGCTTTCCCACTACTTTGTCATTAGAAATAAATTGGATTTTCCACTCTCCCTAAAGCTTCACAGCTCCATGTTCTTTATTCATTCTCTCTCTCTCTCTCTCTCTCTCTCTCTCTCTCTCTCTTTCTCTCTCTTCCCTTCCCTTCTCGATCTCTTCCCCTCTATGTGATTTTTCCCTCTAGTCACTTTTATTTGCCTTTTCAATTTCTTTTTCTTTTTATGTTTTAAATCAGTCTCACTATGTACCCCAGGCTGGCACAGAACTCAAGTACCTTCTTCTGCTGCCTAGTGCTTGGAATAATACCATGTGTCACTCTCTTAAACTCCCTCATTTTCATTGAATACTAATACATTCTAAGAACAGAAGTCTTATTTTTTTTCCAACTTTGTCAAGAACTGATTAGCTTGAAACAATATACTGAGATTAGTGAGAAATGAGCACTTTGAAAGTAAGGGGACTGCCTCTGAACAATTCCTGATCATGACAGGTCAACTGAATTAGAAATGTCATTGTGAGCTTTAAATAAATCAACAATTTTGGTGATACAATTTGGAAATTATACCAATAGCTTGAACAAGTATATATTTCATTGATTTACCTACAGATTGTAGCTGCATTATTATGGCACAAGTGCCTATGTCTTAATATGATTTTGATGTTCCCTAACAATATGTTCCTAAACTATTTTGAATGTTTATGCTTCAACAACACGTCCACAACAAGGTTATTTATAATACAGAGTGTTCAATTAGCATTAATGATCCGTGTTTTACCCTCCAAACCAACCTGCTATTATTATGTGATTACTTTTATGATTTTTCTTTAGAGGTAGGTTGACTGAGTTTCAGTTGTATGTTGTTTAACGGTAATCATTGGTCTAGAAGGCATTAGGATGCCCCATTTGATTCCAACATAAAAGTAAGTTGGCGTCTATAAGTTGTGATTGTGGTCCACTGCTTTAATTCTGTTTATTTGCTTCTAAGGTAAGAGAAGAGAACATGTACTTGTACTTTAAACGTCCTAATGCATAGTATTTTCTGAATTTTGACTGACAGGATTAAAAAATTAATTTTTCCATAAATAAAAATTTAAAGTTATGAACACACCATCTCAGTCATAGAACATCTTTCGGCTCCCAATTTCCAATGTAGATACTCCACAAAGCAGATTGTGCAGAGGCCCCTTGATAGATAACCACATAGGTTTTTCAAGGGAGTTATTGTTAACACCAGATAATGTTGTATATAATTTTTGCATGGAATACATCCACTGTTCCTAATTCAATGTGTGTAATTGTAGAAAGCC